CATCAGTTTTCTAGTTGCTCTGGGCCCATGCCTGCTGTGCACCTCTGGGAGGAGGCAGTGCCTGCTGGCCCTGCTTCTTAGATACAACTTGACCTGGGGCAGAGAACCCCTCGGATCACGGGTTCCCTTTTCTGTGAACTGAGAACATACATGTTTTCTTACCATCTATTAGGGAAAACAAATGCAACGAAGCATTGTGTTTTGGTACCCAGCAGTATCCTAGCTTTTGCTGCTGCTACCTCATTCTAGGTAGCAAAAGCAGGAAGAACCAAGGCTTTCCCTCTGTGTGGTAGGCAGTGGGGAGACATTACCCCAGAGTTCAGCTTTGGAAACAGGAGTTGTATTGGCATCCTAGTGGTACCAAACTCCACCTGCTGTGAGGGGTCACAGAAGCCCACACCTGCACTGTGAGTGGCTGACTCCCACACACATATCCCAGCTGCAGCTGTCCCTATGAGGTCACTTCTGGCACTTCTGGCTGTGCTGCCTCTAGCTCCACAAGCCCTTTCTATCTCTTAATTTCAGCCCCCCCTTTTTTCTAACCTGGGACTCCACAAGGAACAAGAAAGTCATTCTTTATTCTGACCTGGCAGCATCTGCGTATGCGGGAGGCCTGGAGGTTGCTCACCCTCTGCCATAAATGGTTCTTAGGTAACACTGTAGTTAGCTTGTGGAACTGGTAACAGTTCCAAGCACAGACAGAAAGTACCATTTCAAAAATGCTGGGAAGTGCTGATGCTGGTTTGAAGTTGTCAGGGGCAACTGGGAAGTATTCCATCTGCTTATTCAGGGGGAAGAAAGAGGAGAAGAACCAAGCAGAGGGAGAGAGATGAATTAAAATATGGGACTTGATCCAGAATCCTTTGTTCTCCTCCCCAGGGATGGTACCTAGGTAAAGGTGCACTTGGATCCCCTGCCATGAAGCGTGAATGATGATGGCCCTAGAAGTGGCTGCTCAGTTCTGATGCTGTCTCTTCCTGCTGCCGCTTCTTCAGTCATGTTCAGCAGTTACCAGATATGTGCGGAGCCCAGACACAGGACAGGCCTAAAGAAGGGAAGTCACCTCCAAAGGGCATTGGCCCTGGGGCTTCCAATAGGCTGGCTGAAGTGACTCAAAAGTAAGTATAGCCTGGGAGTCTCTACCCAGCCCCTCCATCCCCTGCTTTCTTCCCGATGGCCAGACTTGTATCGAGGCCTATGACTGCTTTGCCAGTTTCCTGCCTGCTTTTCCTATTTTACAGGTGGCACATTAAACCTGTCTTGACCTCTGCTTCCTGACAGATGTGAACCCATCCAGATAGGATTAGAGTTATCCCAAGAAACAGGCAGAACAATAGAGTCTGGAATCACATCTGTAATACCAGCATTTAGAAGGCCGAGGGTAGATGATTATGAGGTTAGGGTCAGCTTGGACTATCTAGTAGACACTGTCTTAAAGAAAAAAGATCCAGGGGACCAGCTCACTTACTATGTGGTAAGCAGTGGAAAAAGTGGTATGTGGGCATAGACAGGGTCTGTGGGACAAACATTTGTGTCACTGACTCAAAGAAATATACCAGGGATAACCCGGGAAGAGGGCTTTGTATCACTGGACACCTCTGTAAGGCGCATGTGCACAGGCCTGGGAGGCTGTCTGATGGCTGGAAGGAAGAGTGATTCTGTTCAGGTCTAACAACATGACAAGCAGCTGAAGGCCAAGCATGAGAGCCAGAGGTCTCTTTGGTCTGTCCATTTATAGGAGAATGGAAGGTGTGTGGAGGCCTCTCTCCTCAGATATGCCAGGGTTAAATGCCAGTACAGTGCATTGAGGACACGTGGGGTCTCCTAGGGACATGAGACTGTATGCCAAAGCAGAGGTTTCAGTATCTGAAGAGGTGCATAAAGGGGCCAGGAAACAAGACCAGTTGCAAAAGAATTGATTTGAAGGAGTTTTCTTGAAATGCAGAATATGCCACCTTGGAAAAGATGCCAGTGATGAGACAGTTTATTCCAGGTAGCCTTGAGAAGCCTGAGAAAATTGATAGTTAAGGGCCTCAAATTGATTTTGTGGATGGAAAGGAGTGAAAGGGGCATAAAATGGCCAAGTAGGAATGAACATATATATTACTTAGTTCCAGGAGATCCTAACAGAGGGGCCCATAGTATATATCCTGTCTAGCTCTGCTATTACCTAAATAACATAAGATGCCCACAACATAAGATGTTTAGTGGTGGTTCTCTTCTGCAGATCATAGTGGACAGCAGGAATGGGTGCCATAGTGCTGGGACAACATGGGCTTCTGAGGGGCCAGGGCTCTGAGTACCTTCATTTCCTAACTGTTGCTATTCCATATTTGGACTTAGGCATTATAGATAATAATAATAAAAAAAGAACACTCACAGGGTAGAGTCCTGGGAAGGGTAGGGAGTCAGTCAGGCTCATGGGTTCCTCCATGCCTCACCTCACAATTCACATGCTGGGAAGAGTCTGCTTTCATCAGAGTGCATCACACATAACTGAGGCCACCAGCACTACAGTCAGTTGTCAGCCTCTTCTCTGATCACTGCCCTGCTAGCTATACATCTGGATCCAGATCCAGATGCTGGCATTGAGAAAACAAGCAACCATGTTGGCGATCCTGCTGGGATGTGGAAAGAAGGATGCTGTGGGTATCCTGCATTCAAGGATGGAGACACATGGTCAGCATGACCACCCAGGAGAGCACCCACTCAAGAGACAAAGAAACCTGAGACTCAGGGAATTGAGAATAGACCCCACGGTGGGTTAAAGACAAACAAGCGAGTGTCCGAAAGGTGCACTGAAGCATTTGATAGCTATACTTTCTAGGTCATGGCTCCTGTATGATTTCCTCCACAGATGCTTCCTCTGACAAGCTTTGCAGGGCTCCAAGACTGACTTATATACATACAACCCCCTAAATGATATTCTGCTGGGGGCTAAGGTCAGATAAGGATGTAGAGTTTGGCTAATTTTTCATATTCAAAGTCAACCTAAGCTGTTGTCAATGTTGAGCATGGTACCTCTAAGACATGAACTTTAAAGAAAGACAGCTAGTACTCCTCTCCTACGAAATAAGAACTCTGCAAATGCCTTTCCAAAGAGCAGAGAGCTGAGCCAAAATTGGGTTGAACAAAACTTTCTGTTGCTACAGCCTGCATACTAGAGCTGTCACCTACTGACAATCAGCAGGAGCAAGGTATGAAGAACAGTGTGGAGCAAGGAGAGGGAAGCACAATGGTGCTACACTGTTTATGGCTTACGTGTCTTACTCCCAAAGAAAGCTTGCCCAGCCACCTAGAAATCTGCTAAATTCTCCTATCTTGTCCATGGCTCCAGAGAATCACAGATTGACTTGAATCACTTGAGCACAGTAAGAAACCAAGATAGTATTTTGAATACAATGGCTTTGAGATGCACTGGAAATGCCTTCTAGACCTAGCACCATACCAGAAGGAAATGGAGGCACTGAGGATGCCCAGCTGACATTCCTATAATTCATATGGTGGGAATTGGGGTTATGCAATAGCAACTACAGCATCTGAGTAAAGATAAACACATAGCAGTGACACCTGGAAGGTGATCTGAGTACAATTGTAGTCCATTAACCCTATCTTCTGCTCAGATCTGAGCAGTGAGTTTTTGAGGAAGGCATGCTCTTTACTTCTGGGAGGAAATGGATGGCTCTGTTGGCAGGTGCCTGTTCCTTCAACTACGTAAGACTACATAGTTTGGATAGGTACACAATGATACCAGAATACACTGTTCTTAGGTCCAGGCTGGGACTACTCATTATTGAATATGGTTTCCCAGAGTGGTAACAACTATCTTCTACCTAGCCTTTTCCCAGTGTGAAAGTTAAAGCTGACTGTGTATGCAAATTACTGGGAGTGATCTGTCAGAGTTCCCTAGGCCCCAGTTTCTGCAGTGCATGATGATAAAAAACACTCTTCAGGTTGTTATGAGGGGTACGTAGGAACGGCACAGGCCAGTCCCCAGAAGTCTAATATAGAGCAGATGTTCAATGTGAGCTGCTATCATCATCATCATCATCATCATCATCATCATCATCATCATCATCATTCTCATCGTCATCATCGTCATCATCATCATCATCATCATCACTACCACCACACCATCACCGTCAAGGCATATTCCCTCTGCCTCACTCACCACCACTGTCCCTGACTCTCTAACAACACACACTCAGGGTCTTTGAGAGAGAGAAAAGGTACTTTAAAATTATGTCAGGGCCTACTTTCTAACAGGGCTAGCACCACTTCCCATCTGTGCACACCAGACACCCTCAACTATAAAAGCCATATGATCACCACAGAAACAGTAAGTACGGGGGCACTGACTGCAGAATCACAACAAAGGACAAAGCCATACTTGAATCTGATAAGCAGGCAAGGGATTAGCATGGGGTGGGTGGGCAGGAGGATGGAGCCTGAAAAGGAAAGCTCACTTTCAAACACACTTCTTACTCATTGCTATTTCTCTCACACATTTTACTTTCATGTATGTGTGTATGATGCATATATGTATATATGATGTGTGCTCTGTGTGTAAATGTCCACAAGTGTGTACCACAGAGCAAATGTGGAGGTCAGAGGACAACTTCAATGGTTGTTCTCACTTTCTACGTTGTTTGACACAGGGGCTCTCTGTACACCAGGCTAGCTAGCAGGTGAGTGTCAAGGACTCTCTTCTCTCGGATACTGAAGTTACAGAATGGTGCTATTGAACTTGGCTTTATGTGGGTTCTAGGAGTTCAAACTCAGGTCCTCATGCTTTCACAGTAAGTACTTAGAGTCACTGCCCCAGCCCCTATACAAGTTCTTTTCTATTTATATTTAAAGGCAAATGAGACTTTGTGGGGAAAATATTTTGTGTGTGTGTCAGACATTTTCTCACACAGTAGCAAAAAGTTTGAGACAGAAAGCCTGCCTCAGCTACTCAGCATGCTTAGGTGATGCTTCTCGTTGAGTGGGTGGCTTACTTGTTGCTGTCTCGGTACTCATAGATATGACATCCTTGAGGCATTCCAGTCTCATGGTCCAGAGTAAAAGCAAGCTTCAACTAAACAAAGAAAGAAAAGAAAAACAAGTAAGTTTTGGCTCAATGAAATGAAGAAATCAAAATCAGTTTCATCCAGTGAATGTGTTGTGGAGAACTTCAACCTCTTCCCCTAGAAGAGTCCACACCTCACAGGAACTCTGCTGTCAACAAAGACTGTCACCATGAACATCTTATGCACTGGGCATGTAACCAGTATTCATGAAGCACCTTTTGTGGCTGACACTGAGCTAGCAGAGGACACAGGTGCACTATAACAATGAAGAGTCACCTTTGTGGAACCTGCAGTCTTTCATAGGAGTGGACAACAATTAAACCTCTATACTAAGGAATGTCCAGGTATATGGAGAAGTTTAAATTGAAGACAATTCTTAAAACCTTCGTGGGGTGGGGGCAAATGCAACTTATCATGTTTCTGGGAAAGCTGATCTGGACAAAACAGAGCTGTGGGAAGGAGGGGTGACTAGACCACAGGTGAAGGGAGCAAAGACTTGTCCTGGCAGAAGACACAGCATGTGTATAGGTCCTGGAGCAGGAGCTGAAGAAACTGAAGGAGGGCTAGTGAAGCTCGGCCCAATAGATATAAGGACCACAGTGGGTGTTGACACGGTTGTAGGGAAGCTAGGCAAAATATGCAGGACATTCTTGGCTATACTGGAATCTTTGACTTTTGTCCTAATACCAAAGGAAGGTTCCTGATCTGTTCTAAGAAAGGGGTGAATGATGTCACCACAGTTCTGTTTGGGAAAACCCTTCTGACTGGCTACTGTGCTGTCTGCAGGAAGAGGAGAGAAATGGGAGCCCACACAGGGCTGTTACTGAGGTTGAGGGAATAGGAGTGGAGACTGGAGGCTGGGTAGGCGAGATGGAGAGAAATGGACTCTGAGATCTAAATGGCAGTAAGTTTTAGAAATAGAACCAACAGGATGTGCTGATGGACACGGTGAGAGAAAGGGGGCTTTGATCTGAACAACCAGGTAGGTAAGTATTACACTGCTGGGAGGGAAGGAAGGTCAAAATTTGGTTAGGGACATGTTGTCCTGGAGACCCCATTACTGAAGATGAAGAAAGGAATGGGAATCAGGTTTCTTTCAGGATGCTGGCAAGGAGATCTCAGGTGAATACAGAACGTCACAGAGCTCAGGCAGCGTTACTACCTGCTTTGCTGGAGCTCAGGGCTCAGGCAGCTTTAGCATTTCCAAATGTGCAGCCAGTAACTATCTTTACAAATTCCCTAGGCTTTTAAATCACCAGGAAAAATGTAACTACACTGACTTGTGTTAGGGATACATTGTTATGATTTTTCCTGTAGGTTGTTAGCACAGCTAATGATCTGCACCATTAGACACTGGACAATTTCTTTCTCCCTCAGAGCAAAACATGCTCTTGGGAATGGTCTGTCCTCTTACTGACCCAGATGAACATTTAAACCAGAAACAAATTCTTCTTCACCACCACAAAGCCAGGAACTTCACTGGAGTCAAAGGCATGCTTTCCCTACAGAGTATACCTTGGCTCTAACCAGGCCTCTATTTCAGTTAAATTAAAAAAAAAAAAAGAATATAGTTCAGCTACTATGGAGGCACCTCAAAAAAAAAAAAGACAAAGAAAAGAAAAGAAAAAGAAAACAACACACTCCCCTATGGTCCAGTTCTTACCACCCTGGATACACGCCTAGAGGAGTCAAGGCCAGCACAGCACAGACACCTGTGCATGCACCTGCACTGTAGCAGTCTCCTCACAGCACAGACACCTGTGCATGCACCTGCATTGCAGCAGTCTCCTCACAGCACAGACACCTGTGCATGCACCTGCACTGCAGCAGTCTCCTCACAGCACAGACACCTGTGCATGCACCTGCACTGTAGCAGTCTCCTCACAGCACAGACACCTGTGCATGCACCTGCATTGCAGCAGTCTCCTCACAGCACAGACACCTGTGCATGCACCTGCACTGCAGCAGTCTCCTCACAGCATGTCCACAGAACCAGCCCAGATGCCCACCAAAAGATGAGTGGATAAAGAAAATGTGCACAAACCATGCTGTGGAGTTTTATTCAGCAATAAAAAGAGTGAAGGCTGGGGAGATTCCCCAGTGGCTAAAACACTCTTTGTTTAAGAGTGAGGAATGGAGCTGGTTCCCTATAATTCTAATCCTGGGAAGTCAGAGATGAGGATATCCAGGGCAAGCTGGCTTGAAAGACTAACCATATCAGGGAGCACTGGGTTTGATGCCTCAAAAAACCAAGTGGAAAAGCAATGAGTATGATTCCCAAACCTCCACATGTATGCACACCCATCCACACATAAACCCACATGTGTACATGTACATGTATATATGAAAAATAGAAAAAAGAACTACAACAAAAAGAATGAAAACTTGTCATTTGAGGGAAATGGATATTAAATGAAGTAAACCAGACCTAGAGAGACAAATATGTTTTGTCTCATACATAGAATCCAAATTGAAAAAGACACGAGAGCAGAAGTGCTTCTACTGAGGAAAGGTTAGGGAGTGGGGACAAGACACGGTGATGGCAGATGAATATGATCAAAGTACATTATATATGCATATAAAAATGTCAAAATGAACTCATTATTTTGTATAATTAATACAAACTAAAAAACAAGGAAATATTAAAAATAGATAGGTATGGTTGTACTTGCCTTTAATTCTAGCATTTGGGATGCTGAGGCAAAAGGACCAAAGTTCAAGGCTATCCTGGGCTACCTACTGAGATTCTGTATCAAAAAGAATGTTCCTCCCAAAAAGCAAAATAACCTAGTGTGCAACGAATCAATTATAACAATACACTAATCACAACTGCAACCTTTTGCCCTTTTGTCTTCACTTACCGTTTTCTAGCTGAGGCACTGTGTTGGTTTTGTCCACTAAAAAGCAAAAACGAAAACAAACAAACAAAAAACCAATTTACACTCTATCCTTTGCCTCAATATTTTAAGCAATGGATTTGTGGCTTAGAAATTTGATCAGAAATGTAGGGGAAAGGATTCCTTGGGAAGCTGTCTGCCTCACCATTACTATTGCATTGATTCTAACAGGATCATCAATAGTGGCAGGGGTGGGGGATGATGATAGGCTCCACTACAGTCCATGTGGAGAGCAGACGGCCATATTTATGATGGTTTATGAAGAATTGTCACCAACCTGGGAAATTGGGGATGCATGGCTAAAGCAGGCTGCACATTTGACTGCATAACATGGAAACTGCAAAGACTGCGTCAAGGGGTTGAGAGAAAGAAATGAAAACAGCACAATAGGAGGTGCCCTGGGATTCTCCACTTTATCTGCTTTGTCCAGGTTCTTCATGACAAGGTAGTACTACTTTGATTTTGAGCAAAGACTAGCATGCTTCTAATCTTGTTTTATGTCTTTCCCCTCTGTTATCATGAAAGGAGGAGCTATTAGGCTGCTTTAGGGAGGTAAAGGGGCTAAGCTGATAAGGGCAGCTGCATGCAGGGGTGTCAGGAAGGAAACCACAGCGGGGGTCAGAGGAGACACCTGGGCATCAGGTAGAGATGGGCTGATGTGAGTGGAGGCTGAAGGAGAAAGGCTTTGAGAAAGGCCATCATGACAGATTAAAGAGCTAAGGCCTGGACCTCAGGCAGGGTTGTGAGGATGGGGGGGCATCCAGAGACAGCTTAGAGCAAGACACATCAAACCATGTGGATGGGACTCCTAGCCCCAAAGGTGGAAAAAGGAGGGATGAAATTGACACTGTGGTCCTCAGTCATGCAACACTGGTAAATGTGATCTCAGGAGAGGCTCCAAAGTCGGGAAACTACAGAAACAGCGATTTAGAGAGATGGTGGTGGGGACAGAGGGTTACTCAGTTATCGAACAGGGTACTAATATTTATCAAATGCATACCCAGTGAAGGCTTTCCCTTATCCTGATGACAATCACTTGAATTAGCTGTCATAACTTCTTTTTAATAGATGAGGAACTTGGGGCTGAGAAAGATTAAGAATTAGCTGGGTTCAGTGAAAAATGCCTATAGTCTTAATATTCAGGATTCTGAGTCAGGAGGGTCACAGTTTTAAGAACAGCTTGGGCTACATATTGAGATCTTGTTGAGGGAGGGGTGTGTGGCTATGGAGATTGCTCAGTTGAGGGGGTTAAGGAGATAGAGTAGTTGGTAAAGTACTTGCCTTAAAAGCAGAAGGAACAGAGTTTGATTCCCAAAACCCATACTTTAAAAAGCAAGGCATAATGTACATCTGTGAGCATATCTGTAATGGTGTTGGGAAGGTAGAGACAAGTATACCCTGGATTCGATAGCCAGCTATTCCACGATCATCTGTGAGCATGTCTGTAATAGACTTGGGAAGGTGGAGACAGGCAGATCTCTGGGATTCAATAGCCAGCCTGTGTAGCTTACTTGAGTCCCAGGATAGTGAGAAACAAAGAATAAACAGCACCTGAGGACAAACCCCTGAGACTGTCCTTTGACTTCCACATACAAGCAGATCTGCATGTATACACACACACACACACACACACACACACACAAATACACATGTGCACACACATATACACTCACACAAACAAAACATTAAGTAATCTCTCCACAGCACAATAGGACCAGAGTTTTAAATCATACCCATGCTCTTGACTTGTTGCCAATATCATGGAACTTTGCTGGTCTGGATATGAACGGGGAAAGGAGGTGTCACAGACACTGTTAAAGATTCTCTGCCTCAGACAGCAGGGCAGATGGTGTGGCTATTCCCACAAGCAACAAGGGATGGCAGGCTTAGGAGAAGAGTTTGGGTCCCATGTGGAGTTGCTGATTTATTTGTTGTGGTGGGGATGGTGAGAAGGCTGCTAGAGATGCAGTCCTGAGATTTCCAGGTGGTAAAATATCTGTAGGTTTCATCTTGTAAGATGACAACTTACTGCAGTGGATGAGACTGCCTTAAGAGTGTGGAAAAATAGGATCTTAGTGGAGTCCTGAGAAACACCTCTGTGAAAGAGCTGG